GGAGTGGTGATGCTGAGTAAAAACAGGTGAGTACAGCGACCAGCTGAAGGAAATAATTGATTTAGGAGCATTTAAATCACTCAGGGTGCTGATGCTGGGTAAAAATAAACATGACAACCAGTTTGATGAGATACCTGTAACTGAGTATTTCATTTATGATGGGAGGGGTACTATTTATATATCAGAGGATTAGCTGGACGTTCTTCAGAGTGTGTGTGTGGAAACCCAACTCTGCAATTGTGTTCATCTCTTATTTGCATGGGGCATCATGGAATATCAAAATTCTCACTCGCTCACCAACAGAATCAAGAAGATTGAGAACCTGAACGCACTGACCAAGCTGGATGTCCTGGATCTCCATGGCAACCAGATTGAGCGGGTGGAGAATCTGAGCCACCTGGAGGAGCTGCGGGTGCTGAACCTGGCCGGCAACAGCATCACGCACGTGGGCAACCTGGCAGGAATGGAGGCTCTGACGGAGCTGAACCTGAGGCGCAACAAGATCATCACAGTGGTCAGTCTGGATTCACTTGGTCAGCTGCTCGTTAAAAGCAATAAATGTGACTTCAGTAAACATTTGCAGCAAAATTTGCTCGAGTTTGAAGTTTGTTGAAAATTTGATGTGACATGGCAGATTTGCCTTTGTGTTCACTTTAGTTGCAAGTATTAACTGGTTTTGGGTTTTCAATCGTGATCATTCATGCGCTCAAATGTTTGAGTATTCAACAGTTCAATTGTATCAAATTCCCAGTAAAGCAGATACAAGATGTACAGATTTTTTACAAAAGGTAAAAAGAAAATAACTTGAAGGAAAAGTAATGTTCTGCCTTCCAGTTGGCTGTATGCATTCAACTGCCCTCAAGTTTACTCTTAACACCTTAGCACATGCCTCTAGAAAGCCAAAGAATTGATACTTTTCCTTTCTTTTATTTTGTTGATTTTCATCTCCAAATATTAGATCTAAAAAAGAAATAATTATCTGGTGATTGATTTAAACATCCAAATATACAAATAATCTAACAACCCTACAGTTAACCCACTGGTCACTGTAGTACCCAGAACTATCACGGTACTCAAATTCTCTTGACTTCCTGAAAGTGCCGAAATATTCTTCTGTATGTAGATTCAGTAAAGTATTCAAGGTGTGATAGTTGATGGAAATACACACATTTTCTCTGTCCATGTTAACAGGCTTCAGGATTCCCACAGCCCTGCCATCAATTTTGTCATTGTCACTGTTATTGTTGTGCAGGTGGAATGATAGATTAAAACAATAACATGCTTTTTGTGATTTGTTTGTTTGCAGTCAGATGTAGACAATCTGCCCAGTCTACAGAGGTTATTTCTCAGCTTCAACTGTATCACAAGGTAATGATGAGAAATATTCAACTTTCACAGCAACCTTGCTTGGGGAAACATTGAAGTTATAGTAGAAAGTGTTTTTAGGCAATGTGATTTGGAAACCTCATGCTTTTCTTCCAGTTGTCAAAAGAAAGAATTGTTAGTCGGCCCTATTTCACCAGGGACTATTTCCAAATCTTAGCTTTCTCACTGTCCCGACTTCATCTCAAGTTCTGTGGAGACTTTAGAAACTCTTTAATGGAACCAAATAGAAATATTCCAAACCATGGCTTCATGGTCAGGTTGATACTTTGGCCTTTCTATAAATTGGGAGTCCAAAAGAGTGATGCTTTTGTGTCCCTGTTACACCTGACCTGTGTAATCAGACATGAAAATATTAATAGATAGAAAAATATGAAAGGGCTGCGTAACACCGTGATCAGAATATAGACAAAAATTTAATATGTAATCGGTGCTCTGAATTATAGAATTGCTGAGCTTTCGGTAACTGGGTGCCTTCGTCAGGGCAACTGAATCATGCTTGCCCTGACGAAGGTACCCAGTTACCGAAAGCTCGGTGATTATATAATTCAGAGCACAGATTATATATTTTGTCTATATATGGAAATATTAATGATATTAACTTCAGACTATCTTTATTTGTTTAGCAATTGTCAAAGAATGTGGTCCAAACTTACAAAATCATATGTCAGATATGACGGGGACACCAAAAAAAAATGGACCCCATCGTTGTAGAATGACCCACCTCTGAAGCACTCTGACCCACCTGAACTTGTAGCTGCATTGAGCTGGAGAGTTGCAATTCGGGGGACCCACGTTCATGAAAGCAGAGCCTGACTCCGAAGGCAGATGAAGCTAAAATCTGGACAATGCCCATTTCCCACTTTTGGCCATGATTCTTATTTGAAGAGAGCTGTAGCCTGTTATGAATACCATGACAAACAATGGTGTTAACACTTGCTGAGGTTACGCATGAATCAGTCATCTAACTTCACGTCAACTTAGTATAAAAATTGTCTTGAGTTTGGCAAATCCCTACTTTGCAAAGTAGCATTCCTCAATGCTCTGTCCCTCATAACGGTGTCTTTGTAACAAAAGCCGCACCCGTGATTGTGGCTGTGCACAATTACATTACGTTCAGTTCTGTGTAATTCAAATTCTATTGCAGCGGAACACAACTCCATCTGGTAGTCATTGTGACGTCGAGGCAACTAACCCCTGCACCGTTATTTCCTGATCTGTTTCAGTTACGAAGACATCTCCTGCATTGCCAACGCGCAGTCCCTGTCCGAGATCTCCCTGGATGGCAACCCTCTGGCCCAAGACATCAACTACAAGTCCATAATTCTCAGGAATGTTCACCAAATTCGACAGCTTGATATGAAAAGAGTGACGGTACAGTGGCATATGGTTGCACCTTCGTAGTTCATTTTGTCCAGCACAAATTTGAATTCTTGGGAGTTCCTAGATACATTTTATCAGATGACATGAATGTCTATTTTCTGTTTCTTAAATATGCCTCTAGTTAATGTAAAGCTCGTGTTGGCCGTTCTCTTGCCAGGAGGAGGAGAGACGAATTTCTAGCACAGTAGCCAAGCGGGAAGAAGAGAAGAAACGAGAGACACACAAGCTGGTGGCTCTCAAGGTACCGGTAAAACAGTCATTCTGAAATCAGGCTCTCCTAGAGAATTCTTCCAGAGTATTTGGAGATTCATCTGCAGGCACATCTCTGCAAATAACAACTGCTATAACAAATTGTATCCCAAATCACTTCCTCCTTGAGGTGGCCCGTCTTTCCCTAACATTACAAAATACCGGTACTGAGGATCACATGCTACAGTTTGAGCTCGCTCATCTGTATGAATATACCAAAAACTGGTTTGCGCTGACTCCTTGCTGTCGCGCTAACTGTATTGGATAGCCACACAGGCATTTGCACAGTAGCTATTACCAACAGTTCACAGCCAGACCTCCCTTTCTTTGAAAACGCCTGACTAAATACTTGTCATGAACAACTTTGTCTGCTGTAGACTTTTGTGTGTGTTTATTACTTGTGTAATCCACAGTATGATTTAGCAGCTACTTTTGCAGATCTTTTCACTTGGAGTATTGATACTTTTAAATTCTATTCAGTTTGTTGTTAGAAAAGAAATATACAATCTGTTAACTCTTTACACACTGAATTGACGCCAGAATTTGTGAACTATACCAAGGGCCGGACATTTTCACCACTTGAATATTAGACTCGCTATGACTTTCCGTCATTTGCGCAGGAGAAGCGGAGAATAGCAATCAACAATGCAGCGCGGCAGTGGGAAGCCTCCAAGAGCACTGCCATGGCCAAGACTATACGCTTACAGCCTGGCCCATACAGTATGGGTAGGGAAGAGGGGAGTCTGACACCAGACAATGTGCATAGCAGACCAGGGTAGGTGTAGGTTTCTTACCCAATTAAGTATGACCTTGTCATCAATGTGACATGCAGTCTCGTGTGATGTGGTAGATGATGCTATTTTGTTGCCAAAACAGCAGGGTGTGGTGGTTAGAGTAGCACCAATCATTTGCAAAATGGCTGTAAAATACCAAAGTTCAAGTTGACATCATGATTGAGAGATCAGAGCTGGAGAACTGATCACTTTAGAAGCTAACACGGAGGCAAACTTTTGAATGAAAACTGTTTCTTATCTGAAGTTGTTCGTACACTACTTGGCCTTCACCAAGCCTGTTGGAAGAAGGGTTTAAATCTGCGGTCTGGCTTTAACCGGTGTTATCTTGATATATTAAGCATGGTTTGCTGATACCTGTAGAAAAAAGAAATGCACAGGATTGCTTGGATGAGATTAGAAGCCATGATCTACTCAGTGTTTGTGCAGATGTCAGAAACTCTTGAACACCAAGTTTGCCAGGGTCGGTAGGCTGAGTGGAGTCTGCCTAATAGCAGTCAATACTGCTGTGAATTTAAGCCCGGCATGGAATTCTTTATACAGCCACCAGGAGTTTGCTGCATTCATTTGTGGGTACTTTTCATAGTCTATTGTTACCTATTGTAAAAATGTTTATTCACCAATATTTCACTCACTGCAAAGAAAAACATCAGCAACCTGTTCCCTTTGTAAGACTCTGGTATGAGAACGCAGAGACTGGAAAATTGCATCAGTTTAGGTCTACAACAGAAATACATGTAGCTTGTCTGTTTGATTGGTTCACAGCATTGATCAGGATTTTAATCACAGGTTTTTTTGGGGGATTTTTTGCCCTTACCTGATGTATATATTTATAAACACTGTATACTCAGTGCTTGTCCGAGAGCTTGCCCAAAAAATTCACAAGTCTACTTGGGTCGGACTACAACCCACGACCTCCTGCTTACTATGCAAACGTCTTAACCACTCGACCACCGAGCTTGCCAGGGTAGCAGTAGGTACCGCAAACTATTTTCAGGATGTACTTTGCATCGGGGAGATGTTAATTTTAATTTGAAAAAACAAACAAACCATGATTAAAATTAATTTCTCCCGACACAAAGTACATCTTGAAAATTGAGCGTGATGCGATCTCTCTTTTTAATCAGTGTACGGTGTCTGCATAGACTTTGCCAGTGTCATATTTGACACTTTGAACAGTCCGGGGCGTGAATTAGGACACACAGTGTTGACATTGAGGATCGGTCATAATGTAAACAAGGGGAAGTTTTTATGTATTCTTGCGTACCATTCTGGACAGCTCTGGTGACATGGACACAGACCGGAGCCAGTCTGTGGACCTGCTGGACGATAAGAGTCGGGAGTCCTCGCGTGCATCGTTGCATTCAGAGTCGAGGAAGTCCAGCAAGGCACCCACCCCAGACCTACTTGCAAAGTGAGTGGATTATCTGCAGCCAGTTTCACTAAAAACTTGGAGTTACCTTGCACCATGTGAAAGCCTTACACTATAAATATGTCACATTCAGTAGCTGCCCAGTGTACTTAACATCAATTTCACAAAAAGCTTTGAAGCCATGACAGGTTTTAAATATTTTGAACATCATGGAAAAGCCAAGGGCATACTTTTCTACGGTTTCATGTTACAAAACAGTCACAAAATTAACTGTGCCTGTAAATTGGGTGGAATTTCAGAACAGGCAAATCGAAGTAATAATTCTCGTGTTCAAACAGGTTTCATTACCATTTAAAAGAAAGTTTGTTTCTGGGAAGTTCGTCATTGTTGGGCTATACATCGTCAATCCTCCAAAATCCCTTAAACTCCCAAGTCTATTTGAAAAGGTAAAGAGGATTAGGAGTGAACAAGGATGCTACTGAAGCAGATTTCAAAAAGTCTCCCAGGTCTGGTAAAACCTGAAAAAAAAATTGCACCCATGTCTCAATTAAGGCCAGTCTGTTCTTGCGTAAATAAAAATCTGGCATCGTATTCTTGGCTGCAAAGATTTTTCTGCATAATTTGAGATGATAAGTTCGCATCTGTAGTGCTGATTATGAGCCCTCCTCATCTCTGCTCGCCTAACTGAAATTAGCATTTCAGCCGAGGCCTGTCACCTGGCCGAGCTGGACGGAGACACGCTCAACCTGTACGGCCCGGGCTCCATGGAAGCCCTGGACAAGAGCTGGGGGGTACAGGCAGCGGGTTCAGTCATGGCCGTCTCCTTCAAGTTCATCGATTTCGACAAGATCGCCAAGCACCTGCACAAGATTCGGATCAGATTCCCCAATGTGGCCGTGAGTTGCTGCCGCTGATTTACTCGAAAGGGAGGGGAGACTTTTGGAAGGGGATGTCTGGGTCTGTTCTAGTATGAGAACATTGTTATTGGGCTGGGTTTAAGCTGTTCTTTAGTTTCATCGGGTCGCAGCTACATTTCTGTTTCCAGAATGTTTACAGAGCTCTGGTCATGATTTCAAACGGGAATATTCATCTTGATCCTCTGTTATTATTTCCTTGAACTAGCTTGTGAAATGAAAGCTTCGATGGCATTGGCAGATCAGTTTTGTTAATATGAAATACACTCAGATTTGGAAAGGTCAGTCTCTGCAACCTGCATCGACATAGGCATGGTGCTAACGTCCGAAAATGATACAACATGATCATGGGGTTCTGTTGGTTTGAAAGCATAATATAAGGAATCTTGCTTCACAATATACCTTTCATCATGTGAAGCCGTGAAGGACCTTTCAAAATTGGACGAAATGACTTCTCTCTAATGACCATGTGAAACATTTTGATTTTTCTGTGTTCGTGGCTACCAGACTGTCCTATTTGGTGAGTGCAACCTGAGCAGCCTGCAGCAGCTGAACGCACTGACCTCACTGCGCCGTCTGGACAGCATCAGCATTGCCAGCGAGGGTAACCCAGTCACCACGTTCTCCCTGTGGAGGCCCTACCTGCTCTTCAGACTCTCCCATCTCGGCATCAAGAAGATCAACAATGAAGAGGTATAAGCAGTGTTCCAGCCAGATCCATCACAAGTCCGTTCACGAAACAAGTCACAAGTCCCTTCCCAAGACCAGTCACAATACTCTTCACTGGGCCTGTCGCAGGTGCCTTCACGAGGCCAATTACAAGTCCCTCCACCAGACGTCATACGCAGTAGTGTGAATAATGGACAAAGGAATGCTTTTCTGCACAGTTCATTATTTGAATACGTAGCTTGAAGACCTGGCTCAAGACTAGATGACTTGAGATGGACTTGCAGGGACTTGTGATGGACTCAACTTCAACTGTGTTTTGTGTGTTGTTGAAACAGGCAAAAAGAATGGGTAACCCCCTACATGACTTGATGTGCATATTATTTTTTGTCTCTCAGAATGCTGTTATTAACCCTAACACTCTTCAGTCCTCCAACAGGTGAAGGATTGAGGAGGGTAAGGGTTAATGAAGCTAATGTGGTGCAAAAGGTTTAGTGTCACTGATACCAACGTCGTTCATATTGTAGGTGTACCCCTCAGATCACAAGCACGCAGAGGACCTCTTCTCCCCCATCTCTCACATCACCACCTCCCAGCTTCCCCCTTCCCGTCTCCTGGGACTGTTAGGGGACCATTTCCGGCGCAACACCCAGGCCCTCACGGAGCTGGAGCTCAAGGCCAAGAAGCAGCTGGTCGCAGACCAGAAGGCCACCTCCGAGAACATCGGCCGGGCGGGCCTGCAGTTCTTCTGTGAGGAGGCGCTCGGTGGACTGTTGCAGGTATGAGGACTGCAAACCGGATCAAACCCGTCAAAACCGGTCGGACCTAGGGTCCCATACCAGCCAGGTCTTGTTTGAAATTAGTAATAAAGAACTTGAGGACTCATTCCAGCCAGAATGTGCAAAACCTACTTTATTAAGATATTGTTTATCTTTCAACCAAACCTGACACCAGTGAAAGCTTCCAGTAGCTGTTGGAATCATTGCTCAACTTTCACCACACAAATTTTTGTAAGATCGTAGAAAAATCATTCACATTTACAAATACAGTAAGCTTCGACTAAGTCGGCATCGCGTAACTCGTCATATCGTCTAAGTCGGCCTTTTGACGAAAGTCCCAATTGTCTCTAATGCATTTCCATTGAAAATTTCATTTCTAAGTCGGTATGTTCATCTCGGTCCCTTTTCCACAAAAACCACAAAAATTCCTTTGTGTAAGCCGGCATTAAAATAAAATCGTGCTTCGGTGTCGGTTTCCCCAGCCACGGTTGCCAAGAAGTGTCAAGTGACAAGTCCCACACTGCTTGACTGATGTCTGTTTATTAGCAGCACAGGCTGTGGTTGATAATCGGCCAGCATGAGTACATCAATAGCAGTAACCCCTCTAGTGCTACACGCATGCGCTCTGTCCATTTTGGGGGTCGCCTTATTGAACATAGTCTGGTTCCCTTCCCAAAGATTCCCTGACAACCCTTGATAATCATTCCTCAGGTAGTCGGAATCATCAGGTCCGGTATCCAGACTATACTGAACGAACTTAACCAATGTGTGTGTGGATGAGTGTATGTTTTCTGTACCGTAACTGCATCACGTACATGTACGTACTGCTCAAGCTGTGATGTGATATGCAAGTGGCTTGCTGTCCTTGCTTTGTCCTTAGAGGCACATGGTCACTTATCGAATTAGTAGCCTGTGAGGATAATAATCGGGGATGAATTCGACCATACAGGAAGAAATAAACCAGGGTAAATCAAATCCATTGAATTAGTGCAAGGAATCATCATGTACTTGTACATAAGCAATACAAGTGTACATGTAAGTCGTCAAAATGACAACTTGCAGCACCAGTCGGCATTCGCGTAAGTTCTTGAGTTCCGAGAGTGCCAACTTAGCTGGAGTTTACTGTATGTTCTAAAAATCACAAGTGAGCTGTGATGTTGACTTTCAACATAAAGAAAGCTCTTTTATTAATGTCTATGACCACAGCTCTTTATGTTTCAATTATTGCCAAAAATTGCCTCGAGTCGGACTTGAGTCGAGTCATTGACTTAACTCACCACAACTTTGTCTTCTGGTCAGCCAGTCCCTTGCGGCGCGTAGACATGCATAGACGTGCACGAGTGAACTCGGTGTCAGTCCATGTGTATGCTGCTGGTTTTTTTTTTCAGGAGTGAAAGGATTTAAACTGTTACTTTCATGAACTTCAAGAATAAAACGTGATGTTATCTGCAGAAACCCTTCACATGGTAAGCTTTGTCATTTTGGTGCCTATCAACGTCACATTGATCTGGACACTGCCCTGTTTTCCAAACTGTTTAATTTGTGATTCTAGGCAACTTAGATTCATGTTGTAGACAATATCGAATCATAAATGGCGTATATCTGGAAACGAGCGTGTCCGTATTAATTAGAAATTTATAGGCACCCAAATGACAAAGCTCACCATGTGAAGGGTTTTCGCAGATCGCATCACAAATGCATCCAGCATGGTAAGTAAATCTAACTGATGGCAGCAGCCAGCTGTGCTATTTTTTTTGGCAGTTGAGTCATGGTGTGTTTATAATGCCCCCGTCTCGTTGACATACATGTAATGCAGGAGCGGTTGTCGCAGTCCGCCTTTGCTCGCAGCTACGTGGAGGAGCTCACCTCGGAGGCCATCCTCATGAACCAGAAACAGAGTGCGCTGGAGAAGATCTGGCCCCAGATGTTCGTGGAGATGGTCCAGGGCGCCGTGCTTAGGATGTGGGACCTGGACCAGTACAGACGGACTGAGCTCAGGGCATTCCAGAAACGAAAATGATTTCTCTCGGGAAATGTCTTCAGACAGCATTCGTCACAGTGCCTACATCGTGCCTTGCATATCATTGTTCATTGGCCCAGAAGTGGAGCATCACACTTCAGTATTAAAGTGAATGGGGCGTCGTTTATGTCAGTGATCATCATCGTGCGTATTCTTTCCGTGCAATTCCACTTGCAGTGCTTCATTTCAACTAAATCGCTTTTCGTGTATTTTCTACCCTGAAATCTTCTGTATTTGCAGTATGGTTGCCCAGCCATAAGCAACACTGATTCTCCCCCAGCATACCGAATGCCACAGCCGTAGTGTTGAATATTCAGTGTAAAAAAAGACTTCCTTACTTGTATTATTGACTTTATACAACTAGCAGTTTTTTCTCAACCAAATTGTTGGGAGGTGGTCCGACCTACGCTAATTTTCCGGGTCCCTGTAGTAAATATGGACCTTTTAAAGTTATTTCTGGATCACACTGTACGTGATATACATGCATGCTTGATGTTGCATTTGTGCAATGGCATAATCAGGGTGTTTCTTATGATCAAGTTTAAGTCTGGTGCTGTGGCGTGATGGTCTTTGTTGACGGGCCCATTTAATACACACAGCTTACGTGACATCATCAGTGCTGTTGCCATGGCAACATGCCCTGAATGCCCCAGCACAGCTTTTGGGACTTCTGGACCGAGTCCACCATGCTCCATCGACATCTGGTCACCTTAAGCCTCCTGGACCGTGTCCATAAAAAAGCCCCCGAAAAGGGGGAACGGATTTAGATGCCATTAAGTCTGATGTGGAGAAGGGCTCCAGCCAGAGTCCATCTTGGTCATGGCCTAAATGTTTACTTGTGACTTTATTGCACTTTTGTACACCATTGCTCTTTGAATTCCATTTTTTTTGATGCAGTAAAGGCATTCTTTGCTTTGTAAAATGTGTATGGTGTCAGTACAATGCAGGTTATCTGTCCTTCATACAGGTACATACCTCAGACAGTCTCCCTATTCAACAAAGTGCAACTTGACCATGTATTACCATTTGATAATGTTCACTGCGTAAAACGCACTGGTACCTGGATACAAGACAGTTTAGTCCATCCCTATTGATCATGAGTGTGCATGCCAAACCCATATATAAGGAGATTCTATTGCAAAACTTGTAACAGGAAAATACCATAAAATGGCTGGGGTTTTTCGCGAACATGAAAGTAAAATTCTTCAACATCATTGGAAATTTATTGTATATTGACTTCTTTTGACTTACTAAAACCGCATTGATGAATGGGAATAAATATGTACTTGGCCGGTCCTAAACTAACATTTAAACACACGTTTATGACCGGCCAAGCACATATTTATTTCCTTATTACTATACGGGAGAACTTACAGTGAGGTTATCACACTCACACAAACTTAAACCATACAACAACCAACGGAAGTATAACGGCCAGCCTGACAAGTATTTTTAATGACTAAATTTATTTCTGAAATCCCACCAATTTAAACCGAGATTTGAATGGATAATCAAATCAATACAAAACATTGGAGGGTAAATAGGATATTATAGCACGGATTTGGAAAGTTGCAGGATTGATCTTGAATGGAAAACTGAGGTAAAACTCAAAAAGGTAAAAATTTCGGCAGTGCTGCAAGGCCTTGTGTACGCGGTGCTGGAATAAAAGAACCGCAAGCCCCAGCTTGTATTTGACATTAGACGTTAATTTACATGAATTGTCCGTGTAAAATAAATTTGTCAGCTCTCGAGATTACTTCTGAGAATTCTCTGCTTGTACAAGAATATTTTTTTTTCACCGGTAGCAAATTTTACCTGAGCGCTTGACCAACTGCGAAGGCACAACTATTTACTCAGTTAACGAACGTTCTTTTCTCATGGAAAATTCGGAACGCCATCTGGTGCAACCTCTTCATATGAGACCCACAAAAATGAATTACGTGTAACATGAAAAAGCTCACGTCTCCTTACTATTAACACAGGGAAACCTCCATGGGTGTGTTGCTGGCTGGACCCGGGGAAAGTCTATAGCAATATGGTAAAAAAGGAGCCGAGTCTGAAGTATTTGTAGAATATTACACCAGTAATAATAAATTACAAAAAAGATTCCCTTTAAAGAGCATCGCTAAGGAACACATGTTTTCTCTGATTTTTATCGCATCTCGGCATGAACAGAAAAAGCCCTTTTTAGCTTGTTTTAGTTGAGCTCTGAAGACAAATGACACTGCATTTGATTTGGATGCTTCCATATTTCTTTGAACGGATAAAATCAGAGAAAACATATTTCCTTAGAGGTGCTCTTTGAATAAGTCACACCATTCAAGTTCAGGATACATGTAATTGATGTGTACATCGAAAACTCACTAAACACTTCATTGAAATTGTACAGCTATGACATTTAAATACAGTATTCGTGGGGCTTTTAAACTAACAATTTAAGATACAAACAGGGAGAACACCAGACTTGTATCTGTAACAACTAGTGTGGCTACGCATCTATAATGCCAGCAACAGGGCTCCAATGGAAGTCATATGTGATACAGACAAACGTTCTAATTTTGCACGCCTCATTGAATAAATACAACCACTGCTGAAACAAGGCAAATACATAAAAATTCTGAGCACAGACATTTCAATCCATTGGCCAACCATTCGATCCTGAAATCCAGTGAAGATTGTTTTTTTCAGTAGGTATTTTAGGACAATTAATATTGACCAACCAATTTAGCAAACACTGGGGAGTCTTCCGGCTTATAAATTTATGGAATATTTACCCACGGCCACTTTGAGACTGCTTAAATAAACATTTTATGCTCAATTAGAAAACACTGAAGATCAACCAGATCCAATTCTTTTGCAATCGACTAGAACCACTGTCAATTCCTAATGCTACATATATCATCTATTTAGTCGGGTCGCTCGACTAGTAAGCAGTGAAACTGCCAACAGGCATATGTCCTGACGACGTCCCACTCAGCCTACATGTGCACTTTCATATTTAGCCATCAGTAGCTCATGGTCCACTGAGCACCATAGGGAAAGCACACCCATTTGACGAAATGTGCCATCATCAGTACAGAGGTCTATTTAAGACTACAACGGGTTGTGACTGTTTAACACAGTTTTGTTTAAATAGGCTTCTATTTCACAAAAGCACGACTGAGAACCGACGCTATATATCAACTACCGGGTAGCAAGAGACCTCCATACAGATCCTGTTGTACTATAACTACATGTATGAAAATGCTGCGCTGATACATGTACCTGCCTATTGAGTTAAACCACCAACACCAATGAATCAAAATGATCAAAATCAGAAAAAGAACAAAAAAAAAACCAAATCTCACCCCACCACTTAACACTCATTTGACTTCAATTTTGCAAATCAAATCTGCTATACATGTACAAACTTGATATCACTTACGCCATACAGAGTACACATGTATATATCCACTTATTAAAAGTTACTTTGGATTTTTAAAGAACGAGACATTTCATTCAAACAAGAAATTGCTCACGTGATTCTTCTACTTTTTAAATCACTTTTTTAATAACCATTTCACCTATCGCTGAAAGCATTGTACCCTATTCACTCGTTTCTTACAACAACTGACCCACCGTGTGTTGAAGTTCCCAGCATGCATTTAACGGTACATGTAGTTATGACACTGTGCTCATGAATGGAAGGATCAAGATACATGTATTTTAGAAACTCTTTCCGCCCCGCTTCAGAGACGATTGAATTCTGTTGAGCTGAATGGGTTCTAGCATCAACTGGTGCATTTCTGGAATCTCAAGATGGTGTGGTGGACTGTCCCCAATGCATGCTGGGAATGACTGGCCACACAATATTAATTTTACATTTAACCCTCCTTTCCATGCCGACCCTCACCCCCCAACCATGCGGCATTTTTGCTTACTGGCAGGCATGCTGACACGCTGCTGATGCTGCTGTTGCTGCAAGGGCAGCCTCTCAATTAGTCCTGCTTGGTGGCGTCGCCGCTCATGGACTTCTTGACCTGTTCGGCTGCTGCCTCTGCTGCCTTCTCCTGGGCCAACTGTTGGGCTATGAAACACACAAACAAACCAAAAATCAACTGAACTCTCCCGTCAATTTCACGTACATGTGCGTTGTTCATGCTGGCAACAGCACTGGTGACATGGTCCATTGTACAGAGAGCCTAATTTCTGCCATGGATGAAATCCGGGCCCAGTATTGTGACTGCCAACTATGGAAATTTGTGCTTATAATAAACATTCTCAGTTATTACAGGTACCACTAGCACAAAAAAATCCACACAATGCAAGTATTAAATTACAGGATTTACATGTGCATAATTCAAATTCCCTTGCTGCTCTGTGAAATACATATAGCTATATCAAATTACTAGAGTGCTAACTTATTATTCTCTGCCCGGTGAAAATTTGATGCCATCCTGGGAGCAGACATTTTGAATCCATGTGTGTGCTTGTAGAAAACTCAAAATAGGAATGAAAATCGAATTATGTACTGGGTACTTTGAATGCAATGTCCCCTTTGCAAAATTATCTGTAGGCATATGCGCTTGCGTTTATGCAGAGCAAAATGAAACACTCAATTGTTGATCGTACTTTAATTTTTTACTTAGCAGCTTTAGTGATGCATCGTTTTAGAATACAGATGCAGATATATGTACAAAGCTGTCCATAGGTTTGTGCACAAACACAGATGCACCAAGCAGATTCCGCTGATGAGTACAGCGCTCTAGTTTTTATATATAGCTCTATGGTGAAATAAGATAACCATCAGTGCAGAATTCTCTGCTACCCCGGTGGTTAGCAAAGAGTTCTCACTTATGGCATGCAGTGCCATGAAACTGGGGTTCTGTGTTGAAAAAAATCTGGACCACATCCGGTGTACGAGATCCTTGACAAGATACACACAATATCACATGGAGTCAAGCTGGGGACAATGCCACACTTTACATGTTTGCTTTCCTACAGTGTGGTGTTCAGTGGACCATGGGCCCCCACTGGACCATGGGCCCCCACTGGCTCCACAGGAAAGTGCACCTGTAAACAACGATTGACATCAACAGTAGTGGGCCTGACAGCTTGAGCATATGCAGCAAGGTATGAGATGGAGAGAAACCCCCCCTCCCCTCCCCGCTTTGTGTTGGTCATTGTCTCGCAGGAATCTGGGGAATTCTTTTCAGACATCTTGGGGGATATGCGAAGTAACAAAAGTCTGGAATGTGTATAGGGATTGGACATGTTGGGGGGGGGGGTACCCCTCGGTCTCATTTCTTGCTGGGTATAAGCTTGAGCTCTTAAGCACCTCTTGCACTTGAGGTTCTTGATCAGGAACTGCACACACGGACATGTACAGGGAACCTTACAGTCATCAAAATTCTGATTCAAATCAACCAACATCCCAGGATCATTAACCACACCCTACCAGTACCTTCACTGTATCTTCCAAAGAAACCTGGCCCAAGTTGGAGTCAAGGACTTAAGTCATCGCTGCAGTACCAAATCGTGCTCATAAAATGACAAACCCGCTAGACAGGTACATGTATTATTACACATACATAAGCCATCTGTGAGTGCCCTGTACCCTTTGCGAGCCAAATTTGAACACTAAATCTTTCTGGTGCACTGATTTGATCTGAGCTCTTGAGTTCTCCATGCTATGATGCCACTGCATCAAATGATTTGGGCAAGCTCTCAAACAGTGGTAAAGGCAGACCTGCCAACATGCCGTACTCCTTCCTGAGGTCACACAATAGATGGAAATTTTAAATGAAGTGAAAGGAGTACAGCTAGGTTGGCAGACCTGTGAAGGACAAGTCTGTGCAGTCAGTGAAAACTGAGCAAAGACACCAGACAGCTCCCATCCCAGAGGTACTTGTAGCTGGTGGAAAGCTTAACCACAAATCACAAACAGCATTTACTCCAGACAGAGATTTCAGATCTGAGTGTGTACCACAGAAAACTGACGGTGCTCCCGAGTACCATACCGGGTACATGTACATGTATGTGAGTCAAACTAGCAAATTCTGTTCTTCATGTCCTGTACATAAAAGCCTCTAAGCACAGAATAAGCTCAGCATAATCAAGTTTGCTCAGCTGTATCAGAATACCCACCATATGCTTCTGGTTACCAGCTGATTTCTACTCAACATACATGTATGCTAAGCAAAGTCTTCTGCTTCCCAGCTCTATCTACAGTGTACATGTACCAGTAACTGTGCTAGGGTACCCAGTCCATGCAGGTTTGCAAAGCCAAGTACCAAAGATTGGTGCCGTATCCCAATATACATCTGCATGTACCTCAATCTGCTTTGCATGGAGTTGCACATCCTGGCACTGCAGAAAAAATGGCGCATGCCAGACCAATGCTCTTTCACGTGGCTACCTTTTTTTGTGCATTGGTACCGGTACATGTACATTTGAATGTTGGCTGGTAAGCGACACTAAAATCCATTCAAAGTGGCCCAAGCTTGCAAGTGCAGCCTCTCTTTCATCCAATACAAAGGGCTCATAACAATCTCCAAATCTATGAAATTTCTGTAAGGGTGGCTTTTAATACAGGTGATTTACGATGAAGTGTGCCACCAAGACATTGCCAACGAATTCAAGTGGTTAAACTTTTGACACGGTCCCTAACCTACATGTACATGTGGCCTTTCGAACAATTCAATTATGTGCCTTTTGCACGGATTTTGCATGCCCAATGCACGAATGCCGCTTGACGACTATGAACTACCCCAAAAGGCTTTAGCACCCGACAACCAGAGTTCATCATCACGCCGTCAACTATAAACATGCCAAACGTGTGTCCAAACGTTGCGGCTACGCCCACAAATACAGAGGACCTACTGGTAAATCCCCTTCTCAGTGTGTTTTGACGAGCCACAGATGTTTGCACACATCTTTAATGTCAGTTCACACTTGGCACAATAATGAACCTCGGTGCAAATGTGAAATGTCAAAGCAATTTCAAGGCTGGTCACTGGCAATGACTGAAATTGGCTGGAAACTCACTGAGGATGCTGTATCAAGTCCAATTTGCGTTTGTGTGAAGTCACACTTGTAATGAGCATAAACTGATCATTTAGAGGTTCATGTGTCAGACGGATTCAAGTGAATTGTAGTCGTTAGTAATGTTCATGATCAGTTTTTAGTTTGAGAATGCTCCGCAGTTGCACTTAGCAACAGTGGCGTAGCTACATGTAGGATTTTACTACTGGGGAGGAGGGGGCACAAAGGGACACCAGCATCTTATGGGGGGGACACCAGTTTTCAATGGTGTGGTTTTTTGGGGGCAAGTTTTTGTAAGCCTTGTTTAATATCGGTTCCTCCATTTTTTTTTCAGTGGGGGGGGGAAGACACCTGGGGGCCATTGGGAGCTTGTGTGGGGGAGGGCACGTGCCCTCTAGGCCCCACCCCCGGCTACGCCACTGCTTAGCAAGCATGTTATCATGTATAGAGTTCATCCAGACAGGTTCAGAATGAGAGTTATATCCATTTAGCATTTTTAGAACAGACAGAGGAGAAACAAACTCAACCATAACAAGAGCAGGCAATCATGCATCTCTGCAAGCAAAAGGACCAATAGACCTTTTTCACAGGGATGCCACTTGTGAGCATGTTTCTGAAATAACTGTATTCAAGGTGATCTGTCAAATGGGATGGAGCCAGATTATTTTGGGTTCCACACCTCACTTTCAGTTTTTTCAGTGTTGCTGAAAATGTTTGGATGGATACCAATATAATTTTAAATGAGTCCTCACTATAAATCAAATTAATGAGTGATGAATTTTATTTCTTACCGGTAGGTTCCCAAAATGAAAAATAAACTCGCTTTCAATTCAATATGGCTGACTTCTGAATACTGTCAATTCTTATACAATGTTACTCCTAACTCTTCTAAGGATTTCGAAGCCACAGAAGGATTTGTTTGACCAATGGGTGGAACCTGTGAGCTTGTACAAATTTGCATGTACTGTTATATACATTGTACCGGTATGTACGCGTGCACCTACGGAATAAATAGCTGGTTAGGAAAAAGCTTTAGCACTTGCCAAGTGGACCTAACTGACTTGTGTGATGTACTTACATGTGTAATTGTTTCATCACCGAGACCACAAGCCAGATCCTTGCATGATGAGACAAATACACGTGTACAATGGCACTGCATTTGTGGTACTGTGACTTTTGCGGGCAAGATGGCAGAAGCAACATTTGTGTTTACGGTATTGGAAATACCAGCAGAAAAAAAAGGCATTGCTGCCAATCGTTTGCTTGAATTAGAAGGATCCATTGGTCACTTCCAATTTTGTGTTCCATTGCACCTGGACGACAAATCGTTCTTCACATCTGGTTCTGGTATTATATTCCAGCCATGTTCTGGTACACACATACAGGTCATGTCGCAGATTTGGCAAACGGGTACGTCGAGGAATGTGCGATATCCGAGTCTCTTTGATAAGACAACTTGAAGCGCACTTTGTGGAGTTTTCAGGATTGCACGATAAACTACTGCCAAATATTTTCATTCACAAAAACAGAACTTGCAATAGAAATAACTTGTGAGAGTACATGTACATGTACCGGTATGTATGCAGTGTACACGTACATATACATGTACATACAAACATGTACTGGTACAAGTGCACATACATGTTATATGTACAGTATACATGTACATACAGGTACGTACATGTACAATACTGCCCCCCCCAAAAAAAAAATCAACACAAAACGTGGAAAATAATACTAAAACATGCAAAAATATGGTACATGCCAAAAGAAGTAAAAGAAATGGGAAATATGGATCATGGCTTATGGGATGGAAGGAGGTTGACATGGACAGCCAAGGATGTATGGTACGGTACGTTACCTTGGTCGACACCTTTGAAAACTGCCAATTACATGCAGAGCACACAGACACAGCACAGGCAATATAAAAAAGCAAAGTCGTTGTTAGGAAAAATGTACAACAGTTGCACACAGTCTACGTGTTTATTGAGCGTACAAGTTTGCAAGGGCAACATAGATGGATTGCAACCAACTGGATGTGAGAAGTAAAAGAAAAACAAACTCCACTTGTACATGTATGTGCAATGATTTGCAGCTCACAGACGGTTTATGTGTGTGTTACAACATGTTAAATTCAAGTGCATTTACGTTAGGCTACACTGAGCACTAATTCTAGCATGCATGCATCTCACAAGTTGATTTTTGCCTAATCTAGCATTGACTACAGGAAAATGTTCGGCCATCATTGGTCATAGATAACGGAAAATCAACCTGTAATTTCACTGGGAATTAAGCCCACTACGCCCTTGATTTGCATGTTCCGAAGTGAGTATAATCAAGCAATTGTTTTCCTCTTACATTTTTCTTGTCATTCATTTTAATAACCAACTTTTTATTAGGAAATTTAAACGATGTGTGAAAACAGTGAAGCTTTCATGACAAAATTATCGCTACGGTAGAATCCACCCAATGAAAAACAGTCCAAAATGAGCGAATCTCAAGCCTGAAGGAGAGGGGAGTGGAGAAATACCACACTGATCAAATTTGCTCTCCACAAATTTGCATTACAAATTAACTTTCACGACACTACAGTAGCATTTTTCTTTCCTGGCAACTTTCACAGTTTGCTGTATGTTTTTGTACATAATCACATTTTCAATTCAAGTTTGGATTCCTAATGAAATGAAGATGGCCGAGCAAAAAATGTCATATTTCCAAGGATGGATTTGCACCGGGGAGATGTTAATTAATTTTAGATTTTTGCCCTGCCCAACGCGTGTTATCGCACTGTATGCTCAGTGTTTGCTGCCACTGGCAAGCTCGGTGGTCGAGTGATTAAGACGTCTGCAACAGTAAGCAGGAAAAACATGGAAATCGTGAGTCCCACCCGAGTTTACTTGTATTTTTTTCGCAAGCCTTCGGGGCAAACATTGAGCACACAGTGTGATAATACATGTACGATATGCGTCGGGCAGGGCAAACTTCTGAAATTAACAAAAAATGTCCGATGAGGAAGTGTTGCTTTCAAGGAGCTTACCTTCACTGAGAGTGGAGCTGGCCACCTCGCCCATTTTTTCCAGGGCTTCGTCCATCTGTTTCTGGTGTTTCAGGACGAAGGGCTTGATGAAGCGATTGTAGATGAACTGGGATCCGTTGGAAGAGATGGGGGCCATGCACCAACCAAGAAACAGCATCTGCAGAGAAGAAGAAACACAGGCAGAGGAAAAGGAACAAAATAGCTTCAATCGTTGGTCAAAACAAAGTAAAAAGTACAAAATGTCCCCCTCCCAAAAATATTAGCCAGCCAATTCAGTTTTCCAACAGTCTTCTGACAACATGCACTAAAACCCAGCCATCATAGGTTATTTAGAATAATCAATTCGCACAAGAGATCCCCCATCGTCACAGCGTGTGCCAAGTTACATGTACTGATTATTCATGAATCAATGTGACATACAACATGCTTTTATCCCAAATAACCTTACCATATTCAAATATTGACACTGTCTCAATTGTCTGGTGCCCTGTCTTCAAAAGGAGGACTTGAATCCGTGCACAGAGTCAATTCTGTGTATGACGGCTTGAGCAAGGCACACAGATGCAATTGCTTTTTCCCAATCAATGACCGTGGAAATGACTGATGAGAGATGACTGTGGAATAATTACATGGAAATCCGCTTGGGCAGACACAGCCATCTTTGGCTTGATTTGAAGGTGTATGGTATGCCATGGTTAGTCACTGAGAAAATTTCTGCACAGTTGCACGCACCGGTAGTGTGCGGAAAAAACTCTGCGGGTGTCATGTAGTAGGCACAAGGAACTCAGCAAACATACTTTTGGCCGTGGCCGAAAGTTCTAGTTACGACTGATAACGTCTAGCCATTTACCACAGGTACTGTATGAATGAATGAATGTTACAAGTACCGCTAGTTAAAGACTCTGGATGCAGCCTTACATTCAAAACCCGCGTTTCTGATTGGTAAAGTTGTACATGTAAGTGTACACTACTGCCTGTTGATTGGTCAACTGGTGCAGCACTGACCAATGGATGAGAAGCAAAGCGGGCAATCATGCACATCAGACCAAATTAAAAGTTAGTTGTGTTTCCTATTACACTGAAAAATAAAAGGAAAAACAGCTTTTTTTTTGTTTGGCCTTATGGCTCAGTTGAATCTGCTGGTTTCAATCTACTCGTGCTGTACCTTGGCTAGGTAGTAGAAGGGAAACCATGACAGGAAGATGTCAGTGAAGAACTCCACCATACCAAAGGCGCTGTATACCACCCAGTAGGTCAGCCACTGGGTGTCATCTTCAGTGCGAACGCTCTCGATGGCCTTCACACTACAAATAACCAAACCAAATAAATGGGTGAAGATTACACGTAGGTTAGTTGAACTTTTTTAGTCTAACCATGCAGACAACTTGGTAAAACGGTACAGAAACGCCAACAGAAACAGACAGTCATCTGAGCAGTCAGCACATGTGGTCACATGTAAGTGAGCACACATGTACATTGTACCATACAATGTACATGTACTAGTCTAGGGCAGTTTCATGGGAAAGGCCACACAATAATACGTGTCTAACTTTTCGAAATACAGTATTCAAGCAATGGCCCAGAACAGAAAACACACCACCATCACTGACCACACAGCTGTACATGTACATGTATGTGCCGTACATTTCTCCTATAATCACAACATAAGAGCTCTTCAACCCTACATGTAAGCAAAAGTAAACACGTAAATATAGACCTGCCTTTGCTGATTTTTGTCACAGTTTATTGTCAAGTACATGTATTTATACACATCCATGAAACTGCCCACACTAAAATGTGCACACATGTGCATGACACACATGGATTGTCAGTTGGTGCGGTTTCATAGGCAGAAATACGTCCATGTACAGTACTGTACGCTTGTCATATATCTGACATTCATCATCAAGAGACAAATTAGGCTCTTCCCATGGAGTGCCCTTCCCTGGAGTGGGGCTTTCATGAGGGCCCACTTCATTGACATTTACATCGTAAAGGTGCAACATGCGTACATACATGTACACGTACAATGTACCTGATAATGTGCACATAATGTATACAAGAACATGTACATGTACGTCATGAAAAAGTACTGTTGACTGAAGTCCTACAGCCATCAGACTTTTCCCCCTTACAATAAATAAACAGAAATACAGTACAGTGTACATGTACATGCCCTATATTGATTTTCCAATCCAGAGTTACAGTTTTTCGTGTTCATGTGTGCATGGGCCAATAAATGCATGCAATACATGTAAAGTACATGTACTGGTATACGGTGCATGCTGTCAGGCTGTAGGATACCTGTAATGTTTGGAGTTACTGCTGGCACATGCGTATGTATACTGTACATTTACAAGTCACGTGAGTGAAATGGGAATCCTGACAAAACATCTCAACTCTGACCTCACATCCTTTGTATTTGTGAGGGTCTGAAAATGCAGTGTAGGTGCCGGTATGCATGCATTTACATGTACACTGCACACAAATGTTTGGATGGGCAGGATCTCCATTGCATTAAGGGGGGCAATTTCTTTTGTCTGGAAAGTTCAGGATAGAGTTGCGAAGACAAAAATTTGTCCCCATAATATTTTTGGTCCCAACAACGTCTACATTTCAACCAATGTTCAGTACCCACAGTCTGATAACAAGTACAAGTGCTAGTACATATGCATGTGTGTACATATATGCATTTCCAAGTAGGGTGTGCTTCAGACCTCGGACGGCATACATACACAGTGTTGACAAGCTCTGCCTTTTGAAGTGACCTGTGCATACAAACTCAGTGCTGGGGATGATGATGTCATCTGTTTGCTTGACGGCAGTGAAGCGCAATGCATGACATAATGAGCAATGCACTGGCACACTGGCATGGTCACACTAATTGGGACTGTGCACATGTTCAAACAACAGCTGCTGTATGAGCAAATGTGTCATCAGGGCAAAGTTGGCCCCCCAACTACATGTACATGTAGATCCCCAATTTTTTAACCACATTACCTATATATCATGTATATACTGGTAGTCTCCTGGACTCAAGGCTGACCAGGGTACTGGCTATGTACAGTAGGTGCACAGTGTACATGTACATACACTGTACTCTCAGTTTTGAATTTTAGAAGGATGCAATGCCCCGAAGGCCACCAATCATCGAGTCGCCCATACCATAGACGAAGGAATAGACATGTGTCTGTAGTAAGCAGTGTTTCCTTTCTGCATGTACCGTACGTAATACACGCATACATACATTGTGGTTCTAGCAGGATCACATACATGTACCATACATGTGACGACAGGCACAGTACATGTACATGTACAAAAAGATATATGGATCAGGTACATGTACCGGTACACCTTGGACCCTTAAATATATTGGAAAAAGATCTCTACAGACCCCTACATGTAATGTGATACACGTCCATGTACAGGTGACTGAACAAAAATAGGAAATCAAAGGAGAAAACCACCTGAAATTGTATTAAATGGGGAAACTATGCAGTGCCCACGTACATGTATGTATCAGTACATGTACGTCCATGCATGTCACCTTTCCCACATTTTCATCCACATCCTTGCAGTACATGTATGTACATGTACACGTATACACATCGTGTTCCACATGTCTGGGATTTACATGTGCCTGTACACTGTATGTGATATCTGTGCATTTTAATCTACATGTACATGTACCTTACATGTAGGGACAAGAGCTCAGATCAATGCACCGACGACAACTGATCAATAGTCAAGCATCGATGTACTGTACATGTATGTACACGTACACAAGAACATACATGTACATGTGTACTGGTACATAAAAGTATTTGCATGTACATGTACATAACCTAATCATTTGTGCTTTTGCATTGTGCATATACACATGAGCATGTACAGTACATGGTACTGATTTGCACATACCGGTATGTACATACATGTACCATATACATGTACACAGGAAATGGGACAGGGCAAGCATGCACATACCCAACAATGTGCTTCAGATACATGCGCCTTCATGTACATGTGCCTGTACATGTACATGTACATCTTTGCAATAGTAGCATTCCGGTACCTGTACAGTCATGCCATTTACAGTGTGTTTGTTAAACATTATTCTACATGTATATTACACATGACTCAGTCTCCACCGAGACACACTTACACAAGTGTTCTGTGTATGAATTTTGAGCTGGTATGTGGTACTGGTATATCATATACATGTATTGCAGGGTTTCCAGAGTGAAGATTACACACTGTACTACAGTGTACAAATTCATTTTTATCCATGTATACATGCATCATATATCTCTTTCCATCATCACCCAAATTTGAGATGCCAGGGTACCAGTAGCATCCCTAGGCTGTAGTTTATATGAAGGAGAGCATTGTTGACATACTTCCGACATTCCTGTCACAGGCATGGAATTGATTTGGGAGTAAGTGAGCTCAGTGCAGTACTGAGCCAGGGGACCAGAGATCAGTCCTCCAGGAGTCAAGGTACCAGGCCAATTGGGATGAAAATTGCAAGTACATGTACATTTATGACATACAGTAGATTGAGTACATGTACAGTACCTGTACCATATTTTTTGAGTTTGCAAGTGATCTCAAAATAGCACATCCGTCAAATACATGTAGGCCTATGTACTGATGACACCTTACCATGCTTACTGTACTGTATATGTGTGTTTTCCTATGGGATTCAGCGGATTGTGGGCCCCGACTGGTACCACACCAATATGTAAACTTGTGCACCTGTAAACAAAGTGTGGTGTCATCAAAACCAAGGCCTACTTGTAAGGTATTTAATTTGTTTAAACAAACTCTTCAGTTTATTCTGCAAAAATGTTATAAGTTTAGCTCAGTCAATAAATACATGTACCATATCCATGTACTGGTATCAGTGAACTTTCCATAAATTTACACATTTATGTAAGTGTACAGGCACATGTACGTACATGTATACCTGGTAGCAGCATAACACTGTACAAATCAAACAACAGAAAGCCTCTGGCCCAATACCATGTGTTGTGAATTTCTCCACGATGCATATTGTGCCCTGTACTAGTATTTGTAATCAATGTCAGACAGCTTTTACAAAAATGTACATGAAACCACTTCTATCACCCACAAGAAAAATCCTGCTGGCACATGTGCATGTCATTATTACCTGAAAAGATAAAGTAAACATCATGAACTGGTCTACATTTACACTGCATCTGGATTAATTAATCCCACAAAATTTCGTCTAGCTTAGATTGGTGGCTCAATTTTGACTGCCCCCCCCCCCNTCAAATTTTGACTGCCCCCCCCCCCCCCCGACGGAATGGTATGACTGTTGATAATGCCATGTTAATAGGGTCCTCAAAATCCTTCACAACAAAAATTAATTTGGTGCTTGCCATGTTAAACAGGCAAACACCAAACAAGTACCCCGGTCCACTGCTCCAGAGTCCAGACATTGTACACGTATGCTTTGGGTACCAGGAGATGCCGTTGTCAGTTCTGCCTATATTTTTATAGCCTGGATGCAGTCATCTCATTGATCGGGTTCGAGAGGCTATTGTCAAGCCGTGCTCTCTGACTGATCTTGTTTTTTTTTTTTACTTTATGTACATACTGGTACATGTATAGTGAAATGTGTTGTTTGATCACTGATCCGTGAATTCATACCAAAGACTATATCTACAGCCATGATATTACCGACTTGTGAGATGCCTTTCTGCATGTTAACGCTGATTACACGTACACGTACATTGATATTATGCTGGTAATTCTGGATCTGGGCAAAATGACCTGCATGCCCTTGTAGCGGTAACTGACTACCTATCGACACGTACATGTACATGTACCATTGTCAGAACAGAAGCGCACCATTTGATTCACTTCACAAATGGAAGTCTTCGTAACCTTTCACAACAAATGTGAGAAATGCCTTTTGCAACACTGCAGATACCGGTATCCGCTCCGAGCAGGAACAAAAGAGGGCGTGTTTTGAAAAGAAATTGACAGTTCTTTGGAATACACTCACTGCACAGGCAGGCGGGATTAGGCTATGAATTTAGTCTGGAATGCACGGTCTTTGCGTGCACGCCAAACGCCAGCAAGACCTCTGTCTTTCTGTTACCGGTGAGGGTGCATTTCAGCTCAGGGTGGATACTGGTATGTACAGTACATGTGCATGTCAGAGTCTGCACTCCGGAAAGGTTTGAATCCGCACAGAAAGATGACACCAGGATCTGCTAGGCTGTCTGCTCATCTGCTGCATGCACAAATACACCCTTCCTCCCGCGCAAACTGGGCCCAATTTCACGGCGCTGCTAGCAGAGGCTCTGGTGCATGCTGTTAAGGCTGTATGCAGTGTGCATGCTAATGGAAATCTCTAAGCACACACAACTGTAAGCTAAACCACACCATGAAACAGCGCTTACAGTTTGCAAAATTTTTACACATGTATGATTTTTCTGCCAACTGTTACACTTAAGTATTATGGCGCCCATGCCAATAGACTATTGGTACATTACAGGTTCAAGAAATTACTTAAGCGTACTCTACAATGTCACTAATTCGGCTTACATGTCTGAGTTACATTGTACTTACTGGTACATGTACATGTTCGGGCATTAAGAGCTGGGCTACACCACCACACTGTCCAAAACAATATCACCTACAAGTATATGTACATATTCTTTTCCAGAGTATCTGAGATTCAATTCCAGGGGAACCGGACTTGACTTTATTTCCACCAAGTGAAATTTAATCATAATTTCAATTGACTACATGGAGTTGCCAAGAGTATTGAAGTACGGGTGCCGGTACGTACATGTACATGTGCTAACACTGATGTAATTTATCAAATACACACATGAAGGGAAACTCCACTCATGAAGCCCTCCCACTTCAATTTCCCACTTCCCTCAACTTCATGTATCTCTCATGTTCCCGCCTTCTACTAGTACTGCATGAGGCACCGCTCGGCACACATTATGAATGCGCCATCGGAAGTCAGTAGCCATTGATCGAGGGTACTTGTCACTTTGGAGTATCCCCCTCCCATCCCCGCATAGCTTAATCAAATTATGAACCCACAGTGCTTTGATCCAATATGTGGCGCTAGAGGGACTTCAGATGTTGCTCGGCGGTGAACGTTCGGCAGCTTACCTGGCATAGGCTGGATACAGGAAACCCAGGAAAGCGCTGATGAATGATGCAGCATAGCCAAAGACAAGCCACAGGGCGACCACAGCAGCCAAACCTGTCAATACAAGCACATACAAGAATAACAAAGTTAGATGGGGATAAACTGATGTTACAATACATGTGAGTGTACACTTACAAAACTAATAGTTTATATCAAGATTTGTACCGTCACATGTACATGTACATGTATGTGTACACATGTACATGTATTCATACAGGTACGATTAACATGCAGTATATCCAGTACATGTACATATGATTGAAGTACATGTAGAGTTTCTGCTTCAAGAGGGAATGTTTCCATTGATTGGGGAATTTGATGCAGCAATTTACAACACTGTGGACTTGGATGCTTTCCTAGTGCTTGTTGAAACAAGCTGTGTGATTGCACCACACTGGATTTGATCATGCAGGCCAGCTATTAGACAAGTTCAATGGTTAAGGTGTTTGACAGCGTATGACAGTTGACACTGCACAAGTAAGCAGGAGGTTATTGGTTCGAGTCCAGCCACAGCAACCATGGGAATATTTTTCCCAAAAGCTCTTGACAAGCACTGACCTGTCAGGTACACATTTGTAGCAAATTATTGATATGCTGGTAAAGGATACATCAACTAATACACGTATTGTACAAGTACAGTATGAACGTGCTCAAAACCTCCAGTACTTCATACATACAATGTACATGTACATGTACATGTACTGTGTGGTACATGTACCCAAGGCTGATATGTGATGCAATCCAGACCTCATCAACAAAGGGGCACTACAATTGTATTTTGGCTGGGCCACACAGACTGGTTGCAGCATTTATCTCGCGCATTGTTTTGCATGGACACGGCACGGCAGCAACCAGTGTATGTGTGGCATTGCTTCAATTTGCACACATGTTTTCACTGCCACAGGAGCAAAATGTGAAGGGAGGGGCATTTTTTTGCCATCCCACTTTTATGCTGCACATTGGTTCAATTGCATCACAAGTTTTCCAAAGTGTGTCGCATTTAAACGATGTGACACAGGGTAAATCAAACAAAGTACATCAGTATGTATAGTACAGTAGGTGTACATGTGCATGTACAAGTACATTGTACTGTGCACCATTACAAATGTGTGCACATGTCAATTTATACATGTACAGAGGGGTATTTACAGATCCTTTGAACTGTCTTTGTAAATGTACTGTTATTACATAAGCAAACAAGTAAATTTTGTGTAAACACGCACCGGTCCATGGGGAGGGTACTTCTCGCATTGATAAACAGAGCTTACAATTTATGGGAAAAATGTCCAAACTGGGCATACAATGTACATGTACTGTATGTGCCTGTACATGTACGCAGTACCAGCACTACATGTATATGGCCAGTGACCACTGAAACAGTTTCATACACTGCAAGAAAACAAGTCACAGCCGACAAAATGTGTGTCAGGTTTATCAGGTTTAAATTCCATTTTCTGTCCTTGGCTTGTTTACCTGGTGTCTGGACTATTGTTGAAGGCTCCCTAAGTATTGATCACTGACTGGGTTACTCTGGGATCATTCAGATAAGTCAGACAGTCTTGTGATTTAAAATGCTACCACTTCTAAATTCACAAGGTCTTTTTTGCTCCAGGAGAGTACCAGTACCTATCTTGTTGCTACATGTAGTACGGCCTCTTAATCATATGCGTATTTTGTAAGGTGTTACAAGTAACTACCCAGTATACATACATGTATATGTACCTATGTACCAGTGCATGCATACACTGAAATCTGTCAATGTAATGTAAATACATGTACATGTACATGTAAGTACACACACAGTATGGATTCTGCATGCATGTACATACAATACAGTACATGTAAATTTGTCTACGTGTACACATGTACATGTATACATGTACATGTACAGTATACAAAATGTGCACACAGGTACCAATGTACAAGTACTATATGACATACAGCACTGGGTGCATAATCATCTACACATGTCATGAACATGTACATACCATGTGTATATTCTGCACATTGAATTGCTGTAACCATGCAGTGAGTGTTTTCTCTTAGTCTTAGGCCAAACAAAAAATTAGTTGTGTTTCCTGTTACATGTACACTGAAAAATAAATTAGGGTGGTTGGTTGGGCAAAATATCTTTTTTACTCTAAATTTTTATCGCCCAAAAAATTAGGATCGGATGATGGTCTGTATTTTTTTTTGGGGGGGGGCATACATGTACCGGTATGTACATGTATATGTAACAGGTACTATCAGAAAGCCAGTGTCAGATTAATAATGTACATGTGCACATTAATATTATCAATATTACAGATCAGCACTGTGATTGAGCAGTAAAGCAGCTGGTTGTTGAAATACAAACACACAAGAGCTGTCCATCTCATGCAAAAAAATTAAAACAATAAAATGTACACAAAATTAGGTTCGGGGCAAGGCACCATAAGTTTTTTATTTTATTGATTTGTCGAATAAAAAGATATAGGTTCCACGTAATTTTCTAGGTTGGGTCGGGTAACCGGAAACACAGCTATTTTTTTTGTTGGCCTTGCAATACTCAGTATATACCGGGGTACATGGAGAACCTGGGTATGAGGATGAATGCACTGGAAGCCCAGCAAGCTTACCCACAACCAATGCATACTGAGCACAGTCTTGTATCATTTCACATGTACAGATATGCATGAAAAAACATGTACATGCATGTCACTGGTAAACTGTATATAAATCTGCTAAAACTGAATGAGTGCATACCAGTGCATGTAGCTGCATGCATGTACATGTACCGCTACATCCATACAATGTACTGTACTGTACATGTACATGTACATGTATCGGTACATCCATACAATGTACTGTACTGTACATGTACTGTACATGTACCGGTATGTTAAATCATAGCGAGGAAGGGGAGGAATGAACACCATTCACATACTGTACCTAAAGTAGTAACACTGTCGAGTTAGTACCTGTATATGTGCGTGTATGTTAAAGATAACAGTATACATGTACGTTGTGCAGTACATGTGCATCCGAGTACGCTCCCTGCACCTGCAAACAGGTGCGACAATCACAATTTGCAAAGTGTAGTCTCTGTCTCTCATGTACATGTACGCATTTGTGTCAGAGTCAGAAAGTGTATACATGGAGAAGAAAACATGTAAAATGTACAGTGCCAGATGCCCGGAACAACTGTTTTACTCTCCGGCGTGCCTGCGTCAGTGAGGTAGGTCAATGCACCGTCTTTGAAGGACGCAAAAATTGTGTTGTGACTGTATAGTACTAGTACATACATGTGTACATGCAAGACATGCCTCTGTGCAAGTAACCGTCATCTTTTAACAGCACACTTGCACTAGTGTACTACTACAAATACATGCAAACGACATATGCATGATACCATTAAGTCGGTCTGCATGTACATGTACACGATGTACATTTATGTATCGATGTCCTTTTAGCATGTTTAAAATCAAAATACAGCACATGTGACAGAATTCAAGCAAAAGTCCCATCGGCAACCTGTCATTCGTGCACTTACATGATGTAACGGTACGGTACCGTACGGTATCTGATTAACAAACTACACCTTTACCTGTTAGAGAGAACTTGACAATGGGGTCGGTAGGAGAGATTTGCATAGTGCTGGCTCAATCAAATCAGGGTAAGTTCCAACTGAAGACCAAACAACCAAAACTGCACCACTGGCCTTACAAAAGCTTCGTGGGGTAGAGATACATGTACAGCAGAGGGAAGCTTCACTGAGAACAATGTTCCTCGAAGGGAATAACAATTGCAATCCTTCTCTGGTTTTTATACCATCATTAAACACTCCTGTACACCACTATGTTAGGACCACTGCAACAGTGCTGACTTAGCAAAAGACTTCCCCACCTCGCTGTGGTCAAGGGTGCAAAGGATACTGATCAGAGTCAGGGCTTTTGAGGGAATGAAGTCACTGGATGACTGAATTCCTTGAGTGGTTTCCTTTCAAAGAACCCACACATTCAGTTTCCTGTAGTGTAGAGAAACTTCCACCTGCAGTGTACTACAAACCTTTCTGACCCCATTTACACCTGCTGTATTTCCTGAATGGAACAAGTATGACAAAAGTACCAGTGTAAGGCACATTCACCTGTTAGATATAGGTGCAACCACAGTCAACAAAAGAACATTCCAGAAGCAACAGGACAGAAGATTGAAACAGTTGAAAATCAGTCCAACAGAGGGTGATCCACAGGCAGGGAAGTTTGTCCAAAAATGCCAGTGCATTAGCCTTTGGTCAAGGCAAAACACCACACTCGTTGACTTTCAGTGTGTGGCACCCAAACCACCTAAGGAGAAACTACATGTACATGTAGCATATCTTAATGCTACAATGACCAGATGACTGTATTTACCAACTCCTTTTACACCCAGCAAGAAATGAGACTAAGGGG